GATTTTATGGGGCAGCGATCAACCCATCAAACACCTGTATAGTCGCATACAACTACACAGGGTCTATTCTTTCATGGAGCTGCAATCAGTCGACAATAGAAACCCCGTCTCTCTCTTATTCCGATCTCACCTGGTCAAATTCATTAACTTCTTCAGGTCATTTTTACCCGCCCACTTCGATTTCATGGAACCCTGCTGGATGCGATGGTAATAATTTACAGGGTTGGAAGGGGGATACTGAAATTGAGGATACTGATTTTTTTTAAAAATTGTGTTTCAGATTTCTAATTTCAACCGTTTTTTTTATGTATAAACTGCAGAATGATAATTTCCAATGCGCTGAAAACATAAAGGTCTTTTCTAAAGGTCATTTGTCTAAATAAATAAATCTGGCTAGTTGTTTTATAAGCACTTTTAATTATAAGTTTTTAAAAAGAAAAAGTCGATATAATCTTTTTTCAAATGAGAAATTTTTGAAAGTGATAATTTTTTCGAAAACTGTCTCAAGATAATTTTACCAACTCTGAAGATGTCGCCACTGATGGCAAAGGAGATAGAGACACGCGAAGAGCAAGGTACTTTGTGACTGCGGGCAAAGACAAGATAGTTCGAGCGATGGCCCAGATAGAGTTGCCGGCGGAGGAGGGAAAAGAGAAAGCAGTAATTTGGCAGGTGAGCTTTTTTGAATACATTTGAGCGAGAGGAAAAATATTTTCCGCGTGATCTTTTATGAACACTTCTGTTCAAAGGAATGAATGAACGTGCATTTTTAAGAATAAATAATACTTATTTCTGTATTTATTTCAGACTTAACTTATTGTTTTAGCATCCAATTGCTGATACTTACAAATACTCACGGTTCTTTAAGCTCCTAAAAACCGCGATTATTATTTTTTGTTTCCGTAAAAGCACAATTAAAAAGCAGCTATTGCGAAAATGTAATATTTTACCCGATGGCTTAAGTTTATTTGAGAAGAAACCGTAACAAACTATGTTCTGATATTCATTATGTTAAGTGGCAACTTTTATCATTTCAGGAAATCGGCAGACCTCAAATTCACGGCCACGAAATGAACAATCTCTCGCTTCTAAATGACGTCACACTGGTTTCATGTGGGGACGAGAAAGTAGTGAGAGTATTTGACTGTACTTCAACTTTCACTGAAGTTTTCGACACATTTAGCCCGAAGTGTAGATTACAAGTTCCGAAGGGTGTTGAGATATCGAAAACGGCGGCGGTTCCCGCTTTGGGTAAGAACGATCTTGGAGTTTTTAGTTTTCCAGCCTTGTTTTGCCCCTTCGAGCTTTCGACTTGATTTGGTTTTAATATTCCTCAAGATGACATAGTTACCGAATACCATTTAGAGCAAAAAGTATGCCAACAAATGATAATGCAACATAGTTAGAATTCAAAGAGGAAATTAGCTCGGTTAATGGTCAATGACCCACGATTAAAATCTACGTGCATGCAACGTTTTTTTGGCTCGCAATTCTTCTGATTTTCTTTGTTTTAGGTCTTTCGAACAAAGGTTTTGAAGATCCCGACCATTCAATACACCAATTCGCCCATCAAAAGACGTTTACGAACAATAGCAACAGCGATGGAAACGAACTGGCGTCTCTTTTCACGAATTCCCATTTGCCAGAAAACACTCTGTGGAGTGAGAAGATTAAACTGTACGGACATGGGAATGAAGTGTATTGTTTGACCAGCTGCTATTCGGACAGGGCGAAACTGATTGCCTCTGCTTGCAAGGTGAGAAGCTTTAGATTTCGAACAGAATTTCGTGGTAAAGAAAGTAATTGAAGAGTTCCAACTCTTAGCCGAAATTTAGTTTTTTGAAATGTAAGAGCAGATTTAATTGTTAATAAAAATATGAGTAATTTTAAGGGTAAAGTTTGAATAGAAAAATAGTTTTAAGATTTTCTGTTTGAATAGTTTTAAGATTTTCTGTTTAAATAGAAAATAGTTTTGAATAGAAAAATAGTTTGGATTTAGCATAATAACACATGCGATGCTTGAGCCTTCTTCCAGGTACATGAATAATAGGAAAAACTTCCTTTATCAAACGTCCTTCGGTTTGAACAAAAACCCTGGCTATGATGATGAATGGCACCACAATTTTTTCATCAAAGGTCACAAATCTTTTTCACCATAAGTACTTTTAATTGTTCAGGCAACTTCGATTGACACAGCCTGTATACTTCTATGGCAGTATGGATCCTCCTCGGACCAAATTGACCTCATAGACAATCAGGGAGGTCAAGGTCACACACTAACGGTCACTGACCTCAATTTCTCTCCAGATTCGAATTTCCTGCTGTCGGTGTCAAGAGATAGAAGCTACTGTGTGTTCGCTGTGTTGCCGAATCGGGAAGAGAATAAATCGTAAGATTTAAATGAGAATAGTTATCTATTTATGCATGAATTCTTTTGCTTCTAACTGAAATGGCGTTTCTCGAAACTATTTTATATATTTCCGATTTTTAAAAATTATCCTTAAACCTGTCAGTATGAACCGTTGAACAGATGACAATATTTTTTCGCTGATGTCATTTTGTCATACTAACAAGCTTCAGACAACTTTGCTGTATAAATTTACCAGGATACGCAAATTCGAAAAAGCCAATGAACTATAATGTCTTAATGTTTAATTATCAATGAAAATAGTGAAGACAGTTATTGAGGTCTTGTTTTTTTTCCAGCAAAAGATCTTAATATGCTGAAATAACACCATCGGGCGTAGTGTAATAGTACGACTATTCTTTGTTTCCCAACCTAAGTCTCAAATATTGGTGCTACTTTTGGTGCATCGCGTTGGCAATTTATTAGCATATTTAGCTGCCTTATTTGTGGCTAGTGTTATTTAATTGTCGAGCGACCATGGCGCAGATGCGAGGAAAGTGGATTCTTTTAAATCTTTGGTCATAAGAAGATCGAATCTGCCACAGCAAAAGTTCTATTTTTCAGGGCTTATTTTTGTTTTTCTTATGTCATTTTATAGAGCTCTTCTTTGTCGCTCTCTCGCTTATGTTTGCGAAGCGTAGCTTAGCCCCTGTGTGTCAGAAGTGCGTTCATTTATTTTAATCTGTCAGTAATTTATCTGTCAGTGCCAGCAAATGAATATCAGTGCCAAAGGTTTGCCAGTAATTTGAGCAGCAGCTCTGACAGTTTTTTTCAAGCATTTGTTAGAGAATATATGTTCTAGATCAATTAGGAGCCGATGAACACCTCAAATTCTTAAATAAGTTGTGATGATATTTTTTTCCGAAAGAGTCTTAAAGTTTGTTCAGGCTCAAGTTTACTTCTTCGCGGTTTAACTTTTAATTTCTTTCTCAGTTCAGTCCATTTCCTTCGTTGAGAGGAAGGCAAACTGCACTATCAAACAGCGAAAGTGTCAAGGTCGCCAAAAACGTGATCGACTTTTTATTTTAAGACGGAAGTTAATTCTCAGATTTCCCAGCGAATTAAAAGTTATACTTATTGATCAAGTTTTCTCGCAGTGCGAATATCAGTGCCGTCACTGACAGCTTTTTTTAGACAACCTGGCCACCCTATTAATGCACTTATGTAACACTAGTGGACAAAAGGCAGTTTGAAATTAATCAAGCAGGGAAACGCAATCAATATGTGATTTTTTTCTGGAACTCATACTGGGTTTTTTCACGCCGCAGAGAAAAAATATGTTGCAGATGAACTTAAAAGAACTTTAAACCAAGACGTTCTTTTAGTTTCGAAAATGGATTTAAATTTTCAGAACTGCCAGTGGAATTCTCGATATTCACACAGCTTCAACGTGATATATTTTCCCCAAAACTCGAATGTTGAAAATGTTCAGAATTAAGTCAGTCACTTTTTTCCCTTGAGTTCATTGAAACTATCCAACTGTCTTCTAGCATTTTTTACCACCATATGATTGTGAACATCAGGATTTTTCAAAATTTTTTGGAATTTAAAAAGCTCAAAATAGTTAGAGAAAAAGCTGCTGATTGAAAAAAATTTTCAGGTGTTTTCAACTCGCGCTGCAGCACAAAGTAGAGCATCACAAGAGAATTATCTGGAAAAGTTGCTGGCTCAAACAAGATAAACCAAATCAATATTCGTTCTTGACAGCATCGCGCGACAAGTCCATAGCTCTGTGGAATTTTTCCAAGATATCTGACTTCAATTTTGATTGGCTGGCGAAAATTACCAATGAGAATGAAATTGAAGCGACGAATGAGCTTATTGTAAAACCCGAGTTGAATTGCAAGCACACGTTTTCGAGTGGTGTTACGGCCTTAGACGTTGTTAATGTTATTATCGATGGATCAGAAAAATATCATTTGGTGTCTGTTGGATTGGAAACAGGTCTTATTTTGTTGCTTAAACTTCAGGAAACGGACTCGAAAGTGAACAAGTGTGAATTTGAGACTATAAAAAAGCTTGATGAGTTCAATTCACATGTTTTGGATGTAAATTGCGTCAAGTTTAGCTCGCGAGAATTTGTTGTCAAGGAGAGTGCTTCCGAAGAACGAGATTATGATGAAAATTGTTTATGGTTAACAACTGCATCAAATGATCATATTGTGAAGCTATTTAAAATCGAAATGATGAGTTGAGTTTTTGAAAATTAAGTTTACTTTTGTTTTGTCCGATTTGAGTTTTTGTCTGAGGTTTTGTTTTGAAGGTGGTTGTTTTTTCAAAACGAAATTTTTTTAAATTTTAGTGCGTTTTCCTATTTTGGCATTAGTTGTGCAAAATGGAGCTTCACTTGTGCTGAAAATTAAAATTAATTCTGTCTTGTTACAAAATTGTTTGAAGCAAAAGTTTGAAAAATTACTAAGTTTCTGATTATTTGAACAGCTGTTTTGCCAAATATTCTGCTGTTGAAGATTCAAAAATTGAAAATGAAGTTTTTCTTTTCAGTCCTTGGTGGTCAACATGTTTCCATAAGTTTTGAAACTGATGTTATGATTTTGATAAATTCAGGTACATATAACCAATGTATTTTTGCAATTTTTCATCGAACAATTGGTTTCAGATAGCAGTGAATGTCAAGTTAATTATCTTCAAGTGTGTCAATAATTGATAAAAATGGATGACATCTATCAGATTGAGTTCAGCCTGAAAATCGCATTGGGACAAAATGAGTCGTAAGAATTTAAGCTTTTTTTTCAGAAAAAAGTCTACGATTTTACACTGTCTCCGATCACCAGCAAAACTTAAGGCTTGAAGGCGATCCAAGAAAACCTCAATATTACAGACTAATCATTTGGTTTACTTGGTTGTGTAATAATTACGCTGGTCATTAGCATTGTTATTAAATCGGAATACAGATCTTTTTCGGGTTAACAGTTGGTTTTAAATTTTTTCCTGCTGTTGACTATGTTTACATTTGAGCATTGGTAAAATTCAACGATGTGATCAAAAATTTGAGAAAGTACAATTCGATGATTGGCTAAAGAGAATAAAGCATGAGTTCCCAGCGGAGTAAAAACTTTACCTACGGATCCAGTTTTTTCAATTTGAGTTTTCTTTTGAGTTTTTCAATTTGAGTTTTTAATTTATCAAAACAGTGTCAATCACAAATTTTTCCTGAAGCTTAGAGCTGGAAAATGTTTTTTTTTGAAATTCTTTAAGTTTTTTTTTTAAAACGAGTTTGTTTGTATTTTCTTGCGTTTATTGACTCTTTTCCAACTTCCTGTTGGCTATGTTTTATATTTTACTATATATCGTACGAAGGAAAGTTTTCATGTACGACACTTCTTATCCCTGGTTCTACATAACTTCCTGTTTTTTTCTTTTTTGTTCGATTATAAGGTTGATTCGTCTCAAATTTTTTGAGCTATCTTGTCGGCTTAGTCCATTGACTTTGCGTTGCTTGAAAGTAAAATGTATTTTCTGTTTTCCTCGAAGGTGGGATAATTGTTCAAAATTTAATAACTTGTTTTTCATAACACAAATTTTGTTTTCGGCTTAACTGGCGTCTGTCCCTATTTAATTAGTTTAGTTCTGCTAAATTTTCCTGTTCGCTTATTTAACGCTGGCAATTGTGTTTCTTGACATTTTTGTTTTTCTCAAATCGAATGTCTTTTGGTTATTTTCCATATTTTTTTTCGATTTTTGTTGATGTGTAAATGATTCTTCTTTTTCTGTGTACCTGGTGCATAAATATTTCCCTTATGACAGTAATTAATAGTAGCAGATTTGCGCCACTCCTCGAAAGGACTCGACCCCCTGAACCCTTAAGGGATTCGGCCACCAATCAATACTATTTTACGACGTCCATTTTAAGTTGACCGACCTCAAAACTTTTCCAAAGGTGCCTTGGACGTCAATATACACAGACTTTGAGATGGAAAGGATTCGGCGCCGAATCAACCCTTTGTCCAAAAATGTCAGAACCGAATTCTTTATTTTTTTAGCCTGAAAGTTTTCAAGCGGTGTAAAGTTTGCCAGCGGCTGGCTCCTACCCTCCTGAATCCTGCGAAAATGCTAAGTCCTGCCTGTTCATAGAGATGAAATTCGAAGCAACCAGTGCCTTGACACGGTTTTCTATGGCAAAAATGGGTTTAAAACTAGTTGATCTAAGTGTCAATAGACGAAGTGAAGACACTTGTTTACGTCGTGTTGTGTTTTTTTCAGGTAAAGTCCTAGAAGCTCCAATTTGAATTGAGACAGGCTAATTGGTCACAATATTTCCCCACTAGACTGAAATGTTTTTCGGTGCTTCCTGTTTGATTATCAAGTTAATTTTTTTATCAAGTGTTATTGAATGAACTGCTTTTTTGAATCTAAACTTGTTTTTGTTTTTTTCGCTTTTTTTTAGGAAAAAGGAAAATTAGTTCAAGCTCAAATTTGGTATTCGCGCTATGACTTTTTGACTTGACTTCTTTTGAAGTTCAATTCAAATTTATTGCTAAAATGAAGGCAAATTACGCTCTCTATTTACGGAATGGCGCAACGTAATGCAATCTAGTTCTAATTTTTGAATGGATTTCAGTTTTCCGAAGTCTCCGATGATTGAACAAGAGATTGCCTTTTAATCCAGTTTTCTCTAATTGTTTTAATTACCGAATTCTAAGCTAAAACGTGATATATTTGTTCTTCGAAATTCAAAAACAATTCAACCTTCTTTTGGGTTCTTTAAATTTGAGCAGGGGTAAAATTCAATGATGTGATCAAAAGTTGTATAAAGTAAAGTTCGGTGAGCGGTAAAAAGAGAAAAAGCCTGAACACTTTGTTTTAGAACCTTGTGCGATTAATTACAAACACTCCATCGATGGTACCTAGTAATGAACTAGCACCCCTATAATGAAAGAAATCAATGGTTAAGCATGGATGAGTCTTACTCCCAATGAAAAATAACCCCCTTCCCCTTTTGCAAAATGCTTGGCGTTCTTAATCGAACATATAATACCATGTGTTTAAATGAGTTTCGAATATTGGATAAAATCTGCTTTAGGTTTGCTCCTGGGTCGAAAAACTCGAAAGTTCTGAAAAAATATCCTATGTTTGCGAAAGTATGCGACAGTATACCAAAACTTCTAGACATCCGAACCGAAGACTTCAACTCAGCCATGAAAATTACAAATGTTCCTTTTTTCTTAGACGATGATGTGCTTAAAAAATTTCTGACAGCGAGAGCTGATTGCTTTTATACTGATTTGAAAATCTTCAAGGACGACCAAGATTTCACAAGAAGATCAAAATACGTTCTTTTTGCATGTGAAACAGGCGCTGTGCAATGTTTGTTGTTTATCAAAGGCGTCGCTTTGAACGATTCCTTTCAATTGAATCTGGACCCAAATTCAGTCGGTGGTTCAGCTTACTACTGCAAACAATATCAAAGTCAGTTTTTACAATCGCAGCAAACTCTAAAGAGTGAAATAACAGAATGGCTTGAAAAGTTTTCACGTGAGGAGGAAAAAGAGAAGGAAAAGATAAGAAAAGGAGTGAAAAAAGTACGAGAAGGAATGAACAGAGAAGTTGAATACGACGAAGATGGGTTTGAAAAGGTGGGAAACGGTAATGCCGATAATGACGATGACGAAGGCTGGACGGTTGTAAGTCGACATGGGAAACGAAAAGCTAAAAATAGAGGAACAGCGTTCACGCAGCGAAATCAAGCACGAGCCCAGAAAGCGGTAAGAGATGTGTTCAAGAGTCGATTAATGTGTTAATAAAAAATTTGCCTATAATCTATAATTATTTTTTCATCGAAATTCAAAGAGTTTTCAGGGCCATGTATTTTTTCTTTAAAATTCGAAGTTGAAGTTTTCCATGAAACAAGTCAGTTTTTTTTCTGTTTCCTGCGTCGTTTATTTACTCTTTACCAGCTGTTTTTGGCTATGGACTATCATTAGAGTTTTGGGTTGGATAGCTGAGATATTTCGTCACCTTTGCAATCACTAGGTTCCCTGATTGGTAATTTCTTATGGCACTCATTTTAATTTAACAAGTTTTCGAATTTATGAGATTTCAATATAGTTCAGCGATCAATCCACTTTAACATCTGCAGGCAGATACTAACAACATCAGTACACTAGTTACAACACAAGTCGCACAATTTAGAGCAAATTTATTGAATTAATAGTTTTTGAGACTTTTTTAATACCTTAGAAGATTGCGACTCTTCGAGATCAATTGTAAAATGAGACTTAATTTGCGATTTCAATTTCCCGTAGTTGAAACTCTTTTCTAGGTCGTGATGAGTTTTTTTAAAAATTTTTCAGAAGTCCTAAAAGACATTAATAACTGCAAACGTGTATTCGTTTAGTTTAATGCATTTAAGAATGCTCATAGCTCTGTGTGCACTTTTTGAGTTCAATTCAAGTTCATTTGCTAAAAGTTAGGCTTTCCAATTACGAAAGAAATGGCGCAAAAACGCGATCGATTTCCAGTTTCGGAACTGGAATTAATTGATGGTTTTCCCAGCGGAATTACAAATTAACCTAATACGTCGCTTTAAGTACTTAAGTTGTTTTTCTAAAATTGTTCGTGAAATTTCAAGCTTTGAGGACAACTATTGTTTTCTTTGAAAATTGAAATTTTTTTTTCATGTTTCTTTGCTTTCATTGAATCTTTTCCAAGTCTCTGTTGGCTATGTTATTTTTGTTTGATGATTTGAGTTTTGGCAAAATTTTTGGACTCAATGTAAGTGTTTTTGTATGCGTAAGTGCAACTGAGCGGGTGAATTAACCCATTTTTTAAAGCGAGCAAAAAATAATTTCTATCAAAATTGAACTGAGGCAGGCTAAGTGGTTCCAATTAATTTCCTGCTGGCTCATTTCAGTTTTTCTGTTTTAACTTTTTGAAGATGATTTTCTTATTCTGCCTTTTCCTGCACTTTTTTTTATTTTTTCCATTTTGTGTTTGCGAAGTGCAGATAGTGTTAAATTGATGTTTCTGTTTAGATTGCATTCCAACGGCACAAAAAACACATAATAAATTTCTATGCCAATCATCTGAAGAGCAAGAAGGAAAAACACATGCAAGAACTGAAAAGCCGATTCGAAAGAGACAAATTGATTGTGGAAAGAATGAAAGCGACGAATAGAAAATTCAATCCAGGTCTTACTTGAGGATTGTGAATATTCTGGGGATGGAGTTTAAAATGAAAGTTGTGAGGCCAGGAGAACAATGGAGATGGTTTGACAAAAACAGAAGAAAGCTTAAAAATAACTAGAAAAAAAACGAACTTGAAACAATTAGAAAAACAAACATTTGATTTAAGACAAATATTTTTCGTGGATTAATGTTTAAAAAAGTGCAAATAAACATCAAGTGTAAGCAACCCTCAATAGAAGCTCGAAGAAAAGATTGCCCATTATTGTTGACGGGTGCATGATTGTTTCGCACGAAATATTCAATCTATAAAAGTCAGTTAATTTTTTGGAATGATGCGACAGAAAACTAAATGCGGACGTCTGAGATTGCAGTTGATTTTGGTTAAAATTTAGATTTCCGCCAAGTTTTTTCTAAGTGCCCAGTGAAGAAAAGTAACATGTATTTTCCCAGGCGACTTAAGCACAAATTTTTCAACACAAATTTGAAATAATGTAATTCTGATAATCAAAATTTTCATTTATTCATCCAAGCAGTATTCTCAAAAGAAAAAAGAGTTTTCTTTTTTCCCAAATTTTTGGATGAATCAATCAAAAGTGAGAGTATCAAATACTATACCCAGTGTTTGAACTCTATAATTTTTCTACCAGGTTACGAAACTGGCTCATAGTGTAAGTTTTTAATCACTTCGGAAATTCTTGAAAGTTAACATTAGGAGAGAGTTTAGGTAAAAGTTAACATTAGGTAAAAGTTAACATTAGGAGAGGGTACCACAAATAATCATCAGAATCCAATTTATCATATTAAAACCCTTTCAGTCCTGATTTGAACAAAATCAAAAAATTTCCAAAAAAAACTTCCAGTGTCGAAAAAAACCGGCTTAAAATTTTTAATTTTTTAGTCTAATTTCGAGCAAATAAAGATTTTTCCTCTAATTTGTAACGGGCTTATAAGTGTTAGTTTTGAATTTCACTTAAAAAACTAACTATTACTTAGTTTTATTTATCAAATTATTTACCAGAAGTTCTTTAGACGGTTCCTGAGAATAAAATTTTCGGATCAAAATTTTTTTTGCTCTTCAAATTTGTTTTTGAAAAAGTATTATATTTGATGTGCAGTACTGTTATCGAATACACATAATTTGCTATTTGCTTTTGCGATCGAAATTCTTGGCTTTCATTAGAATCTATCGTCACACTAAAAAGAAAAAACGACGCAATTAAAAAAAACTTGTAGATTTTTAGTAGTTTTTTAACTATATGGTCAGAACTTTCTGTGCAACTTGCATAGCAACCGGTTAGCCTTGTTTGCATTTATTCAGATTCAAACTTTTTTTAACCTTCCATATTGGAAAGGTCGCAGGATGACCAGACTTGCTCTGCACATTTCTTCATTTTTTTGCAAAAGTAAATTAACTATGATCGGCTCTGGCTTCTGTCCCAATTTTGTTGGCTTACTTCCAATAGCTTTTTATTTTAAATTTTTGTTCGGCAGAGGAATTAAAAGTTCATTTATCTATTCATTTTCTGTACTCTGAACTATAGTAGAAAGAAAAATACTTGCTTGTGTGGCTCGCGAGTCATTTTATATCGTTTTAACACTATCATCAGCTTACGAATCTTCTTTTTTTCTAATCTAACTCGCAAATAAAAGCGTTGATTAAAAATGTTCACTAGTTTGGAAATTTCACTCTTGCATTGAAAATTTCATATTATCGATTCTCTGCTTTATTTGTGACTAGTGTTTAGCTATTACCAATCAAGCTTCCGTGGCTGAGTGATTAGGGCGTGAGACTCTTAATCTCCCAGTCGCAGGTGGTTCGAATCTGACGTAGCCGAAGTTTTTTCTAATTCGAGTCATACTTCTAATTTTTCTTATCTATCTATCTATTATTTATTTGGCGTTTCACGTGACACATGTTTAAGAAGTCCCTATGTTGACGTGTTTAAGATGTCCCTATTTTTGCATGTTTAAGTTTTTTCAACGTATTATTTTTTGCATATTGAAAGAAAATGTTTATGTACGTTTAAGCTATACCGTAGGTTTAAATGCTTAAGAAATTTCATTTGGCTCATGTTTAAGTCTGTTGGTCTGTTCAAAGGCCAAAAAATTGCAAGATTTGAAAATTTTATATAAACATACGTTCTATACAGTCCTATATAGTGGAGTGCTGTTAGGCTACATTTAGGGGTTGCAAATCTGGCGTTCAAGTATGACTGCTCAAATCCTTATATTGTTCGAGATATGGCGTTTTTATGTTTTTTTTTTCAAAATTTGAAAGAAAAACCCAACCAAACTTGAATTCCTCAAACCTATACTGGGGTGCTATCAGGGTATATTCAGGGGTTGCAAATCTCGCGTCCAAATGTGACTGCTCAAATCCTTTAGGTTTTCGAGAAATTGCGTTTTTTATGATATTTTCATTTTTTTTTTCAAAAAAACTTAGGTGTAAAAAAAATTTAACCGAACTTCAATTTCTCAACCCTATAGTGGGGTGCTGTTAGGGTGCATTCAGAGGTTGCAAATCTGTAGTCCAAGTATGACTGCTCAAATCCTTTTGGTTATCAAGAAATGGCGTTTTTATGATTTTTTTCATGTTTTTTTTTCAAAAAAACCGAGATATAAAAAAACTAACCGAATTTGAGTTTCTGAACTTTATAGTGGGTTGCTGTCAGGGTACAGTCAGGAACTTTATATCTGGAGTCCAAGTATGACTGCTCAAAGTCTTTTCGTTTTCGAAATATGGCGTTTTTTATGATTTTTTCATGTTTTTTTTTCTTTAAAAAAATAGATATAGAAAAAACTAGATAAAAAAAACGCTCAGAACTTCAATTTTTCAACCTTATAGTGGGTTACTGTCAGGTTTAATTCAGGTGTGGCAAATCTGGAGATCACCTCTGACTGCTCAAATCTATTTGGTTTTGAGAAATTGCGTTTTTTATGATTTTTTCATTTTTTTGTCAAGAAAACTTAGATATAAAAAAATTAACCGAACTTCAATTTCTCAACCCTATAGTGGGGTGCTGTCAGGTTATATTCAGGGGTTGCAAATCTGGAGTCCAAGAATGTTTTTTTTTCAAAAAATTTAGATAAAAAAATTGACCTCACTTGAATTTCTCAACCTTATAGAGGGTTGTTGTCAGGGTACATTCAGGGGTTGCAAATCTGGAGTCGAAGTAGAACTGCCCAAACCCTTTTAGTTTTCGAGATATGGAGTTTTTTATGATTTTTTTTCTTCATTTTTTGTCAAAAAATTAAGATACAAAAAAAACATACCGATTTTGAATTTCTCAACCCTAAAGTGGGGTTTTGTCAGAGTCCATTTAGGGGTTGCAAATCTGGCGTCCAAGTATGTTTGCTCAAATCCTTTTATTTTTCTAGAATTTTGGTTTGTCTGTTTTCTGAAGACTTGGTTTTGTAGCACCGGAGGTGCAATTGACGCGCTAGTTGCTCTTTAAAGGGCTGCTTTTTTCGTGTTTTCGATAGTGTTTGCGAAACGAAGCTTTGCCTCTGTGTTAGATGTTTGAACTTTTTCACTACCGCAGTAGCGTCTGCAGTCTCATTCGATTTCGACAAACTCATTCTAAAATGACTTGAGGTCTTCGCAGAGCGAGTTTTTTAGTTAAACTCTTGTCTATTTTTTGTTATAAAACCATTTTGCAAGTATCGAATAATAACCGTCGTTTACGCCAATTTTGATCTTAACCGTTTTGACTTGATTCCTTTTCAATTTCAATAAATTTTCATTTGCTTGAAGGAGATCAGTTTTCGCTCTTTAAATAAGCCAGCGAAAATTGCGCAATAAAAGATGGGTTTTTGTTAGGAAAGAGCGTTTTAATTGATAGACAGTTCCAAGCACAGTCAATTGTTTTTGCAAGCCATTCGAAAAACACTAATAGTCATTTAATTTTTATATTTTTTGAACTTGAAAAAAATAATTTTTGTTCTCAAGAATTAAGTCAGTCATGCTTTTTTTGTTTCTGCGAATTCAATGGTAGTTTGGCAACTGTTCAACTTTCAAAAATTTGTTTTTTGTAAAATTGTTTTTTGAAAAATTGTTTTTTCTTTGTTCTGCCGTTAACTGTCGTTATTTTGATGGAAAAACACTAAGTCGTTTTGTGGCTCCAGATGTTTTAAGACTATGTGTTTAGAATGATTTGATGGGATTTGAAATCTATCCAGAGCCTTAAAAGTTTTAAAAGGTTTCGATGCTTGATTATTTTGATTCCAATTTCCTCTCAAGTTTTGATTTTTTTTGCGGTGCGAATTTAGATTTTTTTTCAAGTTTAGTTCAACTTTTGTTGCAAAAAGCAAACCCTGTTCTACCGGTACAAGTGCAAATAGCGCGAAGACTTCAAAATACTTTTTTAAAGGTCGCGATAGTTTTTTTTGTTTTTTTTCAAGAAAAATTTTAAACTGTTCTAGGCTCAAATTTAGATTTTACTGTTGGTTTTTTTATTTCTTTTAAGTTCAGATTTTTTTTGTTAAAAGGGAGGCAAATTTCACTATCGAATGTAAAAATCACGAAAATGGATTTTAGTTATCAGGCTTCCCAGAGAAATAAAAACTTTACCGAATGATACAGTTTTCTGAAATTGGGTTGGCTTTATCAAAAAAGTGGTGATTATAATTTGTTCTAGAAATTTAAAGAGGTTTAAGGCCATCTATTTTTTAAATGTTTTTGTTCGAAATTTGAAGGTTGAGATTTTTTTCAAGACACAAGTCAGTTTTTTTGCGTTTATTGACTTTTTTCCAACTGTTTGGCTATGTTTCATTTTTTTTTCGGTTAATCTTTTATTTTTTAGGAGTCGATGAAAGTAGTACAGAATCGTACATAGGTCGCAATTTTGTTTTTTAGGAATAGTCTTGAAATTTTGTTCGGGCTCAAATTCACTTTTTCTCGGTTTGATTTTTGATTTCTTTTTAAATTTTGTTCGTTTCCTTTCTTAAAAGGAAAGCAAACACCGCTATAGAACAGCGCAAAACGTGATTGATTTCTACTTTCAAAGGAGGAATTTTATTTTCAGGTTATCTTCCTTGCTGTGTCAGAAGACTATAATTTTGATTTTTTTCTTTTTTTTACGAGTTGTAAGAAAGAAAAATAAAAAATTCAGAAGGCATCTTCTAGACTGATCCAAGAAAAATTAAAAAAATTGAAAAACTTGAGATGACCGAAGTTGGTGATACCTTAATTTAGTCACGGAAGGTAAGCTCTATTATCGAAT